GTACATCCCTCAGTTTCTAAGATGTTTCATTGTTTAGGTCAAGTTGTTAAATATGCATCTATATTTGACTTTCATAAGGGTCCAAGATGTCAAGGTCTAGAGTTCTGGCTCAGGGCTCCAACAAATCACTGATATTTGAGTGTGCTATATGGTTCTGTCATTCCCTAGTGGTCTCATCCGATGTTTCTAAAAACTGTGTGAGGTTTAGCCCCATAGTCCTCCACATAGCCGTTGTCTTCCACGCAGGAGACTTTTTTTTTCTCTCTCATTTTATTCAGAAATCTGCCTTTTGCCAGTTTGTCTCCCTTAAAATTCTTTATGCACACATGAAACTGTGGTATGACTTCTGGTTTTATGCTACAGCATCCACTGGGTTTGCCCTTCCATAGCTGGAGCAAATGAATTCTAGCTTGCAGACTTTTGCTTTTATAGCCTTTATTTTCCCTGACTTCCACTGTAGGCTGAGACACAAACTTTTTAAAAAAAAAAAAAAAAAATTCCTTGATTATTATGAGTCTCTCTCCTGTCCTTGCCAGTTAAGGTTAAAGTTACACCCATTGTTGTGCCGGTTGGGTGGGCCTCTAACCTTATGTCACCCATTTCTAGGGCTTTTCCAAATTGTGTGCTTGTTTATTTACTTTTAAAATTCTTTATCTTTTAATGGCATATTCCGGATGTATTTGCTGTCTTCTTTTCCCAAACCCTTTTTGATTTTAATAGGGTTTCCTTCAGCAATTTTGCTGACCTTTTGGTTCCTGCAGACACATGAATTTGGAAAGTTCAGCAGCTGAGTGTTAACCCCCAGCATACAAAACCCACCCAGATTAGAGTCAGTTAATTAATGAGATACTTCAGTGGTTGGCATGATTTAGGCTGTCTTCAGGCACTGAGAAAAATATTAATAATGTGCAAGTATTGAGATATTTGTGTTTCCTTTATTTTTATTTGCAGAAATTGAACTCAAATACAAACATCTTTTTTTCTATCGACACTCTCATTAAAATGGAGCCTTGATCCAATATTCAATGTCTGTATGAATGTCTATGTACAAATCCTTGTATCTTTGATATTGATAAACTTGCACTTGTAATTCTTTTTCATACTCTGCATCTTTCTGTGACATTGAAGAAGAAACACACAAAAGGGGGGAGGGGGAAAGGAGTTACTAAAAATCTCCAGTTTTAGCAGGCAGGGTCACCCCCATTAGAGGAAGGATGTGTCATCTTAGTTCTCCTTAAGGAGTCTAAAAGTGGTGAGGGCAGGGATGCCCTGAGCCTGAGATGACTTTTCTGGAATCGCCATATTTGTATTGGTTTTCATTTTTTTGTGTTCTTTCTCTCCCGCCCTGTCCCCCCGCCATTCCTTTTAGCTCCCTCCCCTCTCCCCCCAGTCCTGTTCTTATTCTTTCAGATCTGCCTTATTCTTTCATTTCTTCATTCATTCTCGTCTAAATTCCTTATCTTGTCTTTTCTTTTCTTTGTACAAGTGTTACCAGTAGCTGCTATCGCCGCAGTTGGAACTGACCACCAGCAAGCTGGCCATATTGTTGAGTAACTGCCCACGGAGGATGTGATCCTGAGTGGGCCTGAAATTAATGTTATTGCACTTAATTCTAGTCATTTATTTTTGTAAGCAAATAAAAGCATTAGAGTGCAGTGCAGGTATTGCTGCTATGCTCCCCAGTTATGGATCAAAGCTACTTTAAAATTTGCAAGTTCCCATGTTTTCTTGAATCCTTCCCTCAGTGCAAGCCCTCGTATCTGGATGATGTCCTGCACTGCACTTTGCTATCACTACAGGTGAGCATGCCTTTTGTATGAGAGCTAGATAAAGAGACCCAGGAGAAGATGCAGTTAAGTTGATCCTTAAGGCAGGAACCATGCTGGCTCTGTAGTACGCTGCCTTTTCTGCAGTACTTGTCCCAGAAGAGTACTGGGATGAACTTCAGAGCTGAGAATAAAACCCTGTCACTGAAGATTGTTCCTGCAACACAAGAGGGCAAGAAGTGTAAGAAGAATAAATAGTGTAACACCGAACCTTTCTTATCCACGCTTGGAAGTGCTTAGGTATCCATGCTTAGATTTTGCTGTTGCAACGGGATACATTTGAGTAATCTTTGTGCTTGTTGGTACTTTCATGCATTTCTGCTTCATTTCTGCATGAAGTCAGAGTCTGGCTCAGCATCATCATGAATGAGTGTGACACATTATTACCCTACAGTTTCTGGTGGGCATCACTTATGGATAGATTTAGTGGGCAGAGAAACTAAATTTGAAATCAGTGGGGTTTTTTTTCTCTGCAAAACAGCTTTTTTACACAAAACACTAAAAGAGGGACTCCCTCGAACTGCTTTTCTCTTCCCCCTCCTGTTTGTCTTGAAAGCTCACTTCCACTGTAAAAATGAAGTTGACCCTTGAGGCCTGTTAAGTTGGGGATCTGATCCATTATGGGAAGCTATTTTACTATCTTGCTGCTTCAGAGAGGTTGTCTCAAAAAGCTGATTTGACACACAAGGTTTTTCTGGGGGTGAAGCCATCTTTGTGTTAGGGAGAGCAACGCTCTGGTGGAGGTAACTTACTGTTTAGGTCAGGAGCAAACCAATTTTCCTCTTATCCAAGCTCTGGCTGCTCTAATCTAATAATAGGTGGAAGAGACAACAGAAAGGACTGTTTAGAGAAGTGCTTTGAAAACAGGATATATTTTTAAAATTCATTTTAATCAAGTGACCCTGAAGTGGGCATTTGTACTTACATATATATTTAGGTTTTTTGTGTTTTGTTCCCCCCCCCCCCGAGGGAGGTTATTTTTCTGAGCACCTTGGTAGCATGTCAAGGTTGAGCTAGCAGGCTAATGCACAAAGCTGGCTTCATGGAGCTTTTATGGGGAAACAGCCTTGAGTGTGTCACCTCTGATGCACTCGGCTTTTGAAGCAGCTGTTTCATTTATTCTAAGGTTCGCTTATTTTCTGGGACTGTATTTTCATATTCATATCACTATGAAAGGGGAAAGAAAAAAAAGTGTTGAAATTGGGGGCCCGCTTGAGTCAATAGGTGGAAGAATTTGCTGCTACCTTTGCTGGAGTCTTCTGCAGTGTTTACTGGAGGAGTCGGTTGTTTCTTAACCCTTTGTTTGGAAAAAATGTTGGGGAAAAGCTTTTCTAGTCGCTGGCTGGAAAATATTTTCTGTGAGGATGCTTGAGTAACTGCTCAGGGATGCCTGTGTGCAGCTTAGCCCCTACAGAAAGTAGGAGGTGGAAAAATGAAACAGTTGAGAACTAAATGAAATCTTCAAATTTCTCACTGTCCCCAGCTGATAAAGGCAGGGACAGTTCGGCATGGTGCTTACTGCTGCACATCCACATGCTGTGGATGATCCTGGCTTGGACACTACATTTCGCTTGCACCCACTGGTTCCAGGATATTTCCAAATGCATTTCTAAGGTATTTCCAAATTGGAAATTCCATGTGCAATGCGCTTGCACGTACTGGTTCCAATACCATCTTGTCTGCTATGAAGGGCAGTCGTAGAAGATGGCTCAGCCTGGTCTAGTCTGTTCATTGCCTGCATTTCCCATGCTGTGCTTTGCTGAAGTAGGTTGGTGTTTTTGGGGTTTTATTTTGGGTTTTTTTTTGTTTTTTTTTTTTTTTCTTTTGGATGTTTCTTTGCCATTATTTATCTGCATTATGGGAGTGACAGGGAAGTGCTGACCACAAAGCAGATTTTTTGATAAAGACACAAAGAATGTGTCAGTGTAATAAGTGCACACCATTTCAATGAAAAAAATGTTTCCTGAACATATTAAATAGGAATCAAATTGTTCTGGCTGATTTAAGGTTAAATTTAGCAACAAAAAGTTACTGAAAAGGAGGATCATTCTTTATCAGGGATGGATGCTTTCCAACCCGTTTTCTCCATGCAACATCCAGCACAGAACTAGAGGTGGGCCTGACTCAGATCAGCAAGCGAGTGCATCCTCTCTGTTTGGAGGGTTCATCTGGTGAGTTCATCTGGGCAGCGCAGAATTGAAGATCGGCACAATGATTCACTGCACTTGTAACAGTCGTTTACTTCAGTGCAAGGTGTATAAAACTAGCTCGTTCTGACCTGGGAGCATTTCATTGGGATAAATGGTCATAAGTGGGTGTGAGGCAATATTTCACAGTTTTTCAAAGTAAGAGGATGATATCCAGGAGTCTTAAAAGAAGCAGGTGTGCAGCCTTTGCTGTACTTCAGTGACACCCAGTCACTTGGCCCCCATAAGCTGCTTTGGAAATCACAGCCAACATGTCTGATTTCTCTAAAAATGCTGTCTTAAAATGCCATGTGTAGGAAATTGGCATTTGCAGTGCTGCAATAGAAATGTACTTTGTGAGTGGTTTCTTTTCAAGCTTTTCGACCTTTTAATGCTTTTTTTTTTTTTCTTTCTGCCTTTCCCATTAAATCTGCAACTAACCACTGGAGAGCCTGGCAATGACAGCATAAAGGCATCTGCCTGGGAAAGCTATAAGGGAAGCACCTTTTTATTAGAAGAACGTGAACCAGGAATTGAAAGTTTCTAGATTTAGTTCAGTTTGAATGCACTAGCTGTCTGAGCCTTGTGTTATTCAGACTGGTTTTCAGAGTGGATCAGTTTGTGCTTTCAGTCACATTAAGTACTTAAAAGGTAGGAGGCTATAGTTTCCTTTTTTTTTTTAGGTGTGGTGTTACACCTACAGTGGATTATACCTGCAAATCAGACATTTATAAATTGAAATGGTAAAACTGGAACAGAGTCAACTGTAGGGACAAAGTGCACCTTTAAAAGCTAGTTCAGTGAAGACCCCAAGGTAGAAATCAGGCTGGAAAATCTGGCTCTGGTTTTGTCCCACGGTTGTTCTGACACACCTAAATATTACAAATGAACGTGTCATGGGAGGGGGAGTGGGTTTGGGAGGAATGCTTTGCATGCGTTTATCTGTAGCTGGGAACTCAAGTTGTTGCTTTCTTCTGAATTCTTGCAGGTGAAAGTGATGGTAAGGATTTGTCCCTCTCAAGGAGCACATGAAACATCTGAATCCATGTCCTTCCTAAAGGTAGACCCGCGAAAAAAGCAAATCACGTTTTATGATCCAGCGGCAAGTGGGCCTTCCAATGCAGGTCACAGGAGGGGCGTTGTTGCTGTCCCAAAGATGTTCGCCTTTGATGCGGTTTTCCCCCAGGATGCTTCGCAGGTACTGGAGTCACTCACATAAACCTCCTGAGTCTTCTCATGGCCACTGCATTTGATTGCCTTAAGCGTTCTTTCTGTTTCTGGGGAATTTTGTTTGAACGAGTTGCCTTTAATGCCTGGAAAAAACCATGGTAATTAATAGATAAGTGGGTAAATTCTTACATTTTCAGTTTAGTCAAGATGTAAAATTAAGGAATGATAGCTGGGGAGATGCATTTACTGACTAAATTATCTTCTTGCATTTTCTCTTGTTAGAGAAAGACACACAGCCAATTTGAAGTTCACTTTTCCATCCAGTTAGCTTTTAACCCATTTGATGTCATTGAAATAAATCCCTTCCCCACTGCTTTCAATGGGAAATGAACATGTGCTTAACGTTAAACTAAATGCTGTTGTTAGGAGAAGAGATACGGTTAACCCCATGGGATTGCTACACTGAAACAGTTAGGGAGCTTTTATATTTTCCTTGCCTTTTCCAGTTTGTTTGTACTGTGTTTTTTGACTGATTATTTTATCTTGATGGTAGTGCTGATGGTGCATGCCTTTCTCTTGCCCTGCAAAAGGGTGTATTTTTACAGTAGTAGCCCCAGACCTGAAAACTGATACACAGATAGGATGGCTGGTATTTGAGAGGATTGTGGGCTGCAGTATATTTGGTGGGATTGGACACCTGAATTTCCTTCTGGGAAAAGTCTCGGGTTCAGAAAAAAAATCTGAGAACAACTTTAAGAAGAGGAAAAAAATTAAGCAGAGTATGAAGAACTACTTCACGTTTGAACTGCCTGAAAAACAAATAGGGTTTGATGAAAGAAAAATAAAACCCCAAAACATCCAAGGTGAAAATGGTATATTAATGTTGAGAAAACATGACAAGATCTGGTTCAGAATCCTACCCTCAGGTCTTCTCCTAGGATTTTATTTAATTTTTTGGGTCGCAAACTAGAGATACAAAAATATCTATTAGGTCTAAGTTCTAGCCAAGCACTTACAGATGGAGAATAACCTCCCACACAGATCAGGGCCTAAAGCAATGGTAGCCATGCCAGGAGGCTGGTTTTAAGATTCTGCATAAGCTCAAATGGCATCTTTGTGCAGAAATATGCAACAGTGAGCTCAACATTTGTCCAGAACTTGAAGTGGCTTTTTCTTACTTGTGTTGCCAGCCCTGCTGCAAGGTGGCCACTCACAGCCTGCTTCTCTGCTGGTTTTGGCACCAGTCCTCCAGGTAGTTGACACCTGGCTTGGGCTAGGCTCTCTCAGGTCCTTGTGGTGGGCCTGTTGGATGGCCTGTTTGTGGTGTTTCTGGGTGACGTTGGCCAGCACAGCCACTTCTGTGCAGGCATCGTTGCTCGAGGCAAGCTTGCTGCCATGCACCTGCAAACAGAACCTTATCATTTCACTGTAGTTACACATTTACACCAACCCTCTCCCCTGCCCCCAGTTGCTGTACTTAATAGATCATCTTATAGTATATGTGAAACCTTCACTGACGTGGATAACCTGGTTTTAGTACACTCAAATATCTTAGCAAGTTCTCTTCATTGATGATGATATTTCCCCTGGAAGAGGAAAATGTGATACTATGAAATCTTATTCAGGGATCTTAATGCATTTTCTCCAGTATAACTGTCTTTTTAATTCCTGTGAGCACTCTTGAGTGGTTTGATTTCAGTGGAGTTGCTACTATTGCTGAATAGCCTTGGCTAAGCTATTATAGCAGCAGGAAGCCTGGTTGGATAGCATTCAGTTTGCTACATTAGTCATAGAATCAATATTCCAAGAGAATTGGTTTAATAGAATTGAGAACTATTTTAGGCTGTAGTAGCATATTTTAATATTTTTTAAGATAGCGTAGTTACTAAAATAATAGGACTGATGCCATAAAAATGGGTAGAATATTATGCCTCAAAAATATTGAGTCATTCATTTCATTACAGAGGAATAGTAAAAACCATAGCGGTATATGCTCTTTTACTTATTTGTGTAATCTTTCTTTCAGGCTGAGGTATGCTCTGGAACAGTAGCAGAAGTAATCCAGTCTGTTGTGAATGGTGCAGATGGTTGCATATTTTGCTTTGGTCATGTCAAGCTTGGTGAGCTCCCAAATTCGTTACAGTTAATTACTATGTCAGTCTGGTAATTACATGCTGTCAGCTCCTGGAACAATAAACCTGGAGTATATGAATAGATTAGAATTTCTTTTTAATTAGCTTTGCAAACTTATCATGGTTTATTTCTACACTGGGATTGTAAGTTTTAATTTGAAAAGGTAAAACGTAACATCAGATTAACTTATTCAAGAACAAGTTCATACAGGTGCATTGTGATGAAAATCAAAAGATCAGAGATGTTTTTAACATTAATTTGCTATGGGTCCGAGTTACAAAAATTCAAAACTGATCGAATAAATAGCAACGGATTAATAATTAAATACTTTGTATTTTTGTATCTGTTCTTTCCTGTTATCTGTGCAGCACATGGCATTGCATGTAGTGTACAGTGGTGGTATGAAGAGGACGCTGTCTTGTACAAGAAAGGTGAATTAAGTCCATGTTTGTCTTTTCATTCTAGGAAAATCTTTTACCATGATTGGGAAAGATAACTCTACGCAAAGCCTTGGTATTATCCCCTGTGCAATTTCTTGGCTCTTCAAATTAATCAATGAACGTAAAGAAAAAACTGGGACTCGTTTCTCTATTAGAGTATCTGCTGTGGAGATCAGTGGCAAAGATGAAAACCTTAAGGATTTGTTAGCTGAAGTAGCCACTGGCAGCCTTCAGGATGGCCAGTCTCCCGGGGTTTATCTGAGAGAAGATCCAATATGTGGAACCCAGGTATAATGGATATCACAACATAGATTTTTCTGAGCCTTTCTTCTGCTTTTTATTTCCTTTTATCTGACAACAACTATGACAACTTTTAAGACAGTAAAAAAAATTATTGCTTTTAATTTATAAGCCCTTCTCCCATGGTGTACATATTTGTTTCTTTTCGTGCCCTAGTGATTTAACCAGTTTTGGGGGGGAAAAAAAAAAAATTGCCCCTGTGCTAATTAGTCATTTTCTTGTTTATATTCAAGCTTCAAAACCAAAGTGAGCTGAGGGCCCCAACAGCAGAGAAAGCTGCGTTTTTCCTTGATGCTGCAATTGCTGCCAGAAGTACCAGCAAACCTGAATGCGAGGAAGAAGATAGGAGGAATTCACATATGCTCTTTACTCTTCACATATACCAGTATCGCATGGAGAAGAGTGGCAAAGGAGGAAGTATGAATCTTCTTACCGTATTGTTTATTTTTAAATGAAGTGGTTTTGGGTTAGTTTAAACAATAATTTGCAATAAACTTAAAAAGAATAAATGAAGTGAACCCTCCAGCCAGTCGAGTTACCTTTAACTTTGGTAGCTGTGGCTAATATCTGGTTTCCTTACTATTAATATTTAATTTGGTCATTATCCCATGCTGTATTCATTATTTTCCTCATTTGAATACATTTTGAATGCCAAGTTTGGCTTGAGTCCATGCAAGAACGTGATGTACAACTGTTTTGCCCCTTTTTGTTTTAGTGTCTGGAGGACGCAGCCGTTTGCATCTCATTGATCTGGGGAGTTGTGAAAAAGTGCTGAGCAAGAGCCGAGATGGAGGAGGCTCTCTGTGTCTGTCTCTCTCTGCCCTGGGCAATGTAATTTTGGCCTTAATTAATGGTGCTAAGCATGTGCCATATAAGTAAGTAAATTATTATCTGCATTATCTTAAATTTGTGGCTGGTGTTACCTTAGCAATGAATTGCATCAACAATTTACTCTTTACCTAAGATGAAGTTAAAGGAAGTTCTGTCTTGGGGTCTGTCTTGTTTTAAGGTCACTTCTATATTACAGGTACATATATCTATTAATCTACCTGTCTATATACATATATACATAAACACAACTTTTAAAATGTCACACAGTAGCATGAAATTCTTAACTACATGGCCAAAAATTATATGCATATTGGTATATACTTAAGTTCCGTGAAATGTTGGGGAGGGTTTGATTGTTGAAAAAAGGAGGGGGAAATGGCCAAAATGTTTTCTTTCCTTCTCTTTGTTTCCTGGCTTTGGAATTTAGACCGATCTCACCCACCTGGACATTAGTGAACAACTTCATCAAAATTTCATAGGATTTTTTTCTCCTCTTTCCAACTTTAAAAATTGTATTGAAATTTCAGAAAATACTAGCGAGTTTGTCAAGTGGTCATAAAAGGTTATTATTTCTGTATGCCTTTTTGAATGATACATCTTTTCAATTAAAAAAAAATAAAAACAACCACCATGTTGCACATTTGTTTAGCAGAAGTGAACCTTTAGGTGTGTTCCTTTGTGGAGTGTACTTGACAATAATATTATGTCAAACGCACCTGTGGGGAGCCCCGCTTAAAGACAGCGGCCACATTGTAAACACCCTTACCAGAACTTGGCCTTCAGTCCTTCAATTAAATTGCTGCTTGTCTTCACGCGTTATAACTTTGTGCTGTTGTTATCAATCATGTCATTTCACATATTTATCTAGTGCTGCATCTCAAACAGGTGTTCTTTCTGTATTAGGCAGAAAGATAATTTCCTCAGGCTAGTTGCTAGGTTTGTGGATGGAGTAGAGGATGGATGGGTTAGAATAGGGAAGGGCAGATCCTGAACTTTGTCACCACCGTGGTTTAGTGAGCAGACATGATGGTAGTTCCCACATGTTGGTCCAGTTCAGGGGGGTGATAGGAAGCAGCATTCAGGGAGCCCTGGGAAGATGTCTTGGAGACCAGTGGAGGACAAAATGTCACCTGTCTTGTTAGCTTTGCTGTCCATGTCCATGGCGGAGGACTTGCATCACCAGGAAAGCCTTCAGAGAGAAATTCTGCTTCCCATTTGCTATGTTAGAGCAGAGCACAGCAGGCAGAACAGAAACTAGATTAGCTGGGGTGGTACTGATGATATATTGCTGATATCTAACATTGTTATATTTGTTTAGAGATTTCTTACCATTTCTGTTGACTTATTTTTTTCTTACCATCAAAATTGTTTGCATAGAGCTCAAAGAGCTTAGCTATTCAGGTACTAAATCTGCTTGGCTAAAAATACAGCACGCATGAGCTTTTTAGGTAATATGAGCTAAACCTGAGATAACTAAACTGCTTATCAATCAATTGTTTTCCAATTGTCTAAGTAACAAATAAAATGACTTATCCTACTGCAAATACACAGGCAGATAAATAGTTAAAATATTGGTATCTTTGTGTGTTTGCATTTAGAATCATTTTAAGTGTGGTCAAATAATAGGAGCATATTTCTTATCTACATGTACCATACATGCATATATCCTATGAGAGTGAAAGCACAGCTTGTGGTGTAAAAATCTGCAAAAAAAGATTGTGATTTCTTTAAACCATCCTAGTGTTCTCATTTGTTACACAGGGACAACAAGTTGACAATGTTGTTGAGAGAATCACTTGGGAACATCAACTGCAGAACTACTATGATTGCGCATATTTCTGACTCCCCAGCCAATTATGCAGAAACTCTCACCACCATTCAGCTTGCATCGCGAATTCATCGAATGAGAAAGAAGAAATCCAAGGTTGGTTCACAAACAAGCAGAAATTAATTCATTTGAAAATTAGTTTTCCTAACCTCTTGATGGGGGAACATGGGATTTCTTGGCGGTAAGAAGTAATACAAAATGCATAAAAGCTCAGGAGAGGAACTGACAAATGACTTGGCACTGAGCCATCATCCCACCCCCAGTCCTTAATCCTGAAATTCCCTTCTTTTTGTTCCAAACACGTATTCTTTCTTTGCTTATGTGTGGAACTATCTCAAAAGCTTCTATTTGTATTAATTAAAAACCAATAAGAAAGGAAAAGAAAACTGTTGAGGAGAAAGACAATGCATAATATTTAATGGAAATTATCTGAAAATGTGTGATTGTTCAATTACTCCTAATACAGTGAAGTCTATGTAGCATGACCTTGTTATTTTAATTCAGTCTAACATTTTTCCGCTAGATGTAGTTGTGATAGTGTACACAAAGCACAGAGTATATACAAACCTGACCTTTTAATCAATTATATGTACATGTATATACTTATACATCAATCAATATTAATAACTTTCCCCTTATTGATCATTTGCAGTATGCATCCAGCTCGTCCGGAGGTGAGAGTTCATGTGAAGAAGGACATGTCCGACGACCGCCCCATTTGCGACCATTCCACCCACGAACTGTTGCCCTTGACCCTGACCTTCCTGTCCTGAGTATATCTAGTGATCCTGATTATTCCTCCAGCAGTGAACAGTCTTGTGATACTGTCATCTATGTTGGTCCCAATGGCGCAGCTTTGTCTGACAGGGAATTGACAGATAATGAAGGTCCTCCGGAGTTTGTTCCCATAATCCCATCCCTAAACAAGAAGAGAAGTAAAGACAATTCTGCTACTGGTAGGAGTTCTGACAAGGACCATTTTAAATGCAACACTTTTGCTGAACTGCAAGAAAGGTTAGAATGCATTGATGGAAGTGAGGAACCCATCAAATTTGCTTGTGGAGAAATCTCTGTTGTGTCCAATTGTAGTCCAGTCCCTGGAGGTACAGAAAACGCACAGTCTAAACTTACAAAGGAAAAAATATCTTCTCCTTCTGGAGGATTTAAGAAACCAGTTCCACAAGAAACTGCATCTCCGAAAAAAGGACATAACCTTCCTTTCCAGGCTGTTGCACCAAGGGGTGGCAATGGCAATTGTCATGAAAAGAGCACACCTCACTTGAAACCAGAGCTTTCCAAGCCACAGAGCAGAGCTGACAACAAAATAACAGACTCGATACTGGAGGGAGAGAGAGAGACAATCACCGATTCCATGCAGTCCTTAAGGTATAGCCCTTCAAGGAATCCGGAGCAGAATAAGGCTACAGCTGAATGTGTCATTAAGGAAAAGTCCTTGTACATGAAGAGACCCTTGCCAAGCCCAGCACCTCCACCTCCACAGCAGAAAGAGCACATACCGAGCTCCAAAGCTGAGAATTTGGAGCTGGACAATGGCAATGCAGTTCGGACTCCTCCTGTGGGAATGAGCAAGCAGATGGGAAACAAACCTGAGCAAAACCCTGTAGGAAGCACGTTCCTGCTTGGTAGCAATGCCCAGAATCAGTCAGGTGCGATAGAGGTACACAGCTTCAGGTCAGCATTCAGAGGGAAATGTTTTGATCGGGATATACTAACTACCACGGTGACTTTGCAGCAGCCTGTTGAGCTGAATGGAGAGGATGAACTTGTTTTCACTGTGGTGGAAGAACTGTCCATTAGTGGGATTATGGATAATGGAAGACCTTCCAGTATCATTAGCTTTAACAGCGACTGCTCCCTTCAGGCTCTTGCATCGGGTTCGAGGCCGGTCAGTATTATCAGCAGTATAAATGATGAGTTTGATGCTTATACCTCACAGGAGACTTCTACTGGTGTAAATATTGATATTGTTGTGCCCTTTGCTAAGGATCCCTTTACCAGCAGCAGACGTTCCTCCATCAGTTCGTGGCTTAGTGAAGTCAGCATCTGTACAATCGAAAGTGATGGAGCCCAGTCTAGTGACAGTTTTGTCGCACAGTCATCTTACAGCTGTAATAAGTCCGAGGAACCCTTCAACTTGGATTCATCCCATTTGTCCGTCCCCCTAAAGAGCGCTCTGAACGACAGTGGATTTTGCTTCTCTGAACTGGAGAGTGAGAGCTTGACCTCCAGCAAGCTCTCCTCGGGCATCAGCAAAAGCCCTCAAACCTCTGAAACTACCAAAGCATCTCAGATAAAAAGTGCTTTTTGTGTCACTGATCAGCCCGTAAAAATAAAATTTAGTAATTCTCGCGATACACCTGTGATAGAAACAATACATTCTAGTCTTCCTAGGAAAACAAAAACTACCTCGTCTCCAATCCACAATAATAATGTCCTCAGCTATAAAGAGCTGCAGAATCCACATGGTATATTTGAAGATCCCTGGCTGTTGCGCACTGATTATCAGTTGGAAGCAAAACCTGCAGACTCACTGCTGTCTCCAAAATCTCATGCATTTGGTACTGAGAAGCAGCCAGGAAAAGCTGCCCAGTATTTTGGTGCAGCACCCAGGCCAACCAAGTCGCAGACTATGCTTGCCTGTTCGCAGAGGGTTGTGGATGGTTGTGAGATGGCCTGCAGATCCTCTAGCGGAGCTACAAAGAAGTCAGAAATTCCGATGAAGATGCCACAGCTGAAGAGAGGAGCCACCACGCTGGGAGTGATGCCAGTGTCACACGCTAACAGTACTTTGTCAGAGTCTGTGTCCCGAGGGAATATGGATGCTTCCTTGGCCACTGGCAGCTTGAAATCATCACTGGGAAAGAAGAGCGCACCACAGAAGTCGACCATGTTGCCCAGGCCAGGTGGGCCAACACCTCCAACACCTCCTGTACGCAAATCGAGCCTGGAACAGAAACCCGTTGGTCTGGGTAGTGGTGGGGGAAAAGCCTCCAGCCTGGACTTCACCAGAGCTGCCACGCCAAAGGCTGAAGACGAAGCGGATTTGAGGTTTAAAGCTGGGTCTTACTTCAGCGAATGTGCCAGCAGCAAAATGAACCTGAAGGGCGACCACTCGTTGCCCAAGATGACATCCAGCTTAAAGGCGAAGGCATCGAAGAGCGAAGCCGTGCACCGTTACGGGAGCCACATGTCCCTGGAGAGGTGTGACAGCCTGACGTCAGTCGGATCCAAAGCAAGCATGGCGAGGGAGAATGGGAGCACCAGCAACAGCCGGGCAGGGCGCTCCGTCCCCAGGCTGGGTGTCCCCCCTGTTGCCTCCGGTGTGGGTTTACCACCGCCCTTCACCGCCGCCGCACCTGGCAAAAACAGCCAGGCAAAACCCACAGCTAATCAGAAGGTGCAAGCGAATGGGAATAAAAACCGGGGCCTCTCTGCCAGTGGTTCGAAGTCTCTCAGTTCCTCTGTGAAGTCCCTGGCGCAGCCCGCAGGGAAGGGCTCTGGCATGGCCCCTGGCGGGAAGGCAGCCCCCCGCTCCGTGCAGCCCGTCAGTGGCAAACCCGGCCGAGGGACCATCATGGGGACCAAGCAGGCCATGAGGGCGGCCAACAGCCGCGTCAACGAGCTGGTGTCGGGCGGCTCTGCCAAGGTGGGCCACTTCCGAGGCTCCACTGACTCTGACAGTGGCAACGACAGCGGCATCAACCTCAGTGACGAGAAGTCTCAAATGCCGGTGCTGCCTTCTCCATACAGCAAGATAACGGCGCCCCGGCGGCCTCAGCGGTACAGCAGCGGGCACGGCAGTGACAACAGCAGTGTCCTAAGTGGGGAGCTGCCGCCGGCCATGGGGAGGACGGCTCTGTTCTACCACAGCGGGGGCAGCAGCGGCTATGAGAGCATGATTCGGGACAGCGAGGCCACCGGCAGCGCCTCCTCGGCGCATGACTCCATGAGTGAAAGCGGGATGTCATCACCGGGCCGGATGAGGAGCCTCAAGTCCCCCAAGAAACGATCGACAGGTAAGAAATGAAGGGGAAGGTGGCCAGGTGTCCACTGGTGCTTCACTGCATCCCTGGGGATTGGGGGGGATTGTCATGGCTTCCCTGACAGAGGGGGAGAGGAGGTATGGAGGGGAACTCAAAGCGGGGAGGCAGACTGCCTGCATGCGCTTGCGTGTGCACGCGTCTAGCTGTGACAGCAGCTACCTGTCATTTATTTCACTTCAAAGCTGCAGGTGTGACACAGGTGCTGTGGAGGAGAGGGCAGGAGAGGCTCCGGACGCCCCGGGGCTCCAGCAGCCTCCCTGCGAGGGAGGAGGCAGCAGATGGCTGCTGGCAGAGAGGGGAGGACGTTCCTTTCTCCCTCAGCAGGGTCGGCAGCGAGTGCGGCAGCAGGGCGGCCCAAAAAAATAGGAGGGTGTTGTGGGTGGGTTGGGGTGACTGAGGGTGCTTGGGTGGGCGCTGATGAGTTTTTGTGCAGATCAAGTGGGTGTCAGGGAAGTTGGGTGAGAGAAGGGCGGTGAGGAGAGGAGGAGCTCTGCTGCCAGGCGTCTCTGGGGGCATTTTGGTGAGATGGGCTGGGACTGTAGTTTGGAAACAAGAGAATAGACCTGGAGGGAAGAAGGGTGTTTGTGAATTAATGAGGGTTGCTGAATGTGTGTTAGATTACCCAAAGGTAGGGCTTAGGGGCAGAGCAGTAGGGAGATGTGTATGCAAGATGCGGCAACTCTTACATTAATGCTACCAGCTAATTGCAAAAATATTGTATTGCGCTGTAATAGTGTTTTTATAAAGAAATTTTAGAGTGTACATGTGGATACTATAAGCAATAGGAAACTGACGGGGGGAGTGGCAGTAAAACCAAATGAGTTAAACTGATGTGGATGTCGGTGCTTTCTGGTCAAAGCAACTGAGTTGCTTTAGCAGGTGATAACTCATTTCGGAACTTAGTGCAACATTTGCTGCATTTCTCTTTCCATAGCATATCAACCTCTTAAACCTTTCCTACAAATCAATATTAACAGCTGTATAAGTTGCACACATATTGAGAAAGCATTACCCACTGACGGATTTGTATTTGTTTTTGCCCCAGGAAATGCTTATAAGGTCTTTAAAAATGAGGAACTATTTATTTTTCCATTTGAAATTGCTCTATATCAGTAAATTATGTATTACTTTTTTTGAGTGCTGTAGACTTTGAGAAAATTATGTGTTTTATACATGAAATGAGGTTTCCTAGGAAGTTCATGAAATATTTCTTATAAGAAATGTTTGGTGCAGACTCATTATTGGCCTAAAATATATTGTAATCTTTGCAAAGTGTTAGAGACTCTTGGAGTACCTTATGTCGCTCCAAACTGTGTTGGAGTCATACAGTCTCTGGATTTAAGGACAGATCCTATTGTCATATATGTCACTGGAAACCTTGTCCCTTTATCCTTTAACTTCATCCTTGGAGAAATGACGTTGACCCTGGCTGGTGGAGTAGAAGGATATGAAGTTTGTCTGCTTAGTCTATGTGTTTGATTGCATCTGTTCGGTGTGCTCTTCAGAGGGATCCTGCTGTCACCAAAGTGGGTACAGATCAGAGTTACAGCAGGTGATTTCAGCAGGTAGGACTATAGTGGGTATTCAGGCTAAATGAACTGGGGTTGTGAGAATGATTAACAGGTGTTGTAGAAGTAGAATCAAGTCTTCCCTTTTCCAAAACATTCCCATTGTGATTGTTCCTGTTACTTAGAAAATAGCAAGGATGCAATTAAGAATTAGGGATGTTTTTCTTAAGAATATGTAAAACAGGTAACTCTTCAGGTATCTGTGGAGGTGTATTGCTTTGGGGATACCTGCTGGGATTTTGTCTCCATTTCATGTTGAAGTTTGTGACGGGGCTTACTTGACAGCCTTAACTTGCACTTAACTGCCCTGTAGAGGTCTCAGCCCAGTAGGTATTTTGGCAGCACTGTCCTCTGAGCAGCACTGTCTTGTCTCTTTGATGTTCTTCCTTTTGTAAGATGACCAGAAGAAATAAGGCTCCTTACCTCTGAGTTGTTTTTCATTAACAGGAGGAAATTAGGCACTAAATTTATCGTCACCAGTCTCCCAAAAGCTGCTCATACTTACTGCTACCATGTGACATTTCAGCTTATTTCTGGTGGCCTTCAGCCCTCCTATTTATCTAGGGATTGGACTGCAGCCTTGTTAACATTGCCTGACTAGCTGTGTAGATGTACTCATCCTTGACACATGGAGTGTAAAGGTCAGCCTTTTAGAGAATTAAGAGGGACTGCACACCAAAGTGCCAATTCTTGTATACAAAAGTACCAGCATTTTTGAAGGACATAAGTCAGTCTCTGCTTCATGAAACTTGAGCCCTAGCATATGCATCAAGGTGGCAGTATGCTCTGTTTGTAAATCTGGGAGCCCTCCTTTTGAGGAGTTGGTGAATTTTGTCATGCTCTGAGCTTCTGAGTGCTGGTGCAAATGGGTGGTGATAAGCCTTGACATCAGAGGTGGCTCAAGTTACAGTTTGGTTGGTTGCTGCCTTCTGAACGCCTCCTAATCCCACAAAGTCATGGAAGACTGCTAGTATTTAGCACCTTGTGGTGTGCTAACCCCGGCTGGATGCCAAGCGCCCACTGAAGCCGCTCTATTGCTCTCCCTACTCAGCTGGACAGGAGAGAGAAAGTATAATGGAAGGCTTGTGCGTCAAGATAAGGACAGCGAGAGATCACTCAGCAATTACTATCATGGGCAAAACAGACTCAACTTGTGGGAAACTAGTTTAATTTATTTTCAAATCAGAGTAGGGTAATGAGCAATAAAAACTAAAACTTAAGACACCTTCCCCTCACCCCTCCTTTCTTGCAAGGCTCAACTTCACTCCCAATTTCTCTCTCTCTTCCCCTGCAGTGGTGCAGGGGGACAGGTGATGGAGGTTGTGGTTAGTTCATAACATGTTGTTCCTGCTGCTCCTTGCTCCTCAGGGGCAGGACTCCTTACACTCTTCCCCTGCTCCAGCGTGGGGTCCCTCCCATGGGAGACAGTTCTGCACAAACTTCTCCAACCTGCCTCCTTCCCCTGGTATGCAGTTCTTCACAAACTGCTCTGGCATGGGTCCTTTCTGTGGGGTGTGGTTGTTCAGGAACAGACTGTTCCAGCTTGGGTTCCCCATGGGGTCACAAGTCCTGCCAGCAAACCTGCTCCAGTGTGGGCTCCTCTCTCCACAAGACCACAGGTCCTGCTGGGAGCCTGCTCCAGTGCGGGCTCTCCACAGGGTTACAGCCTCCTTCAGGCATCCACCACCTCTGGCACAGGGTCCTGCATGGGCTGCAGGTAGATATCTGGTCCACCATTACCCTCCATGGGCTGCAGGGGGACAGCCTGCCTGGCCATGGTCTTCACCATGGGCTGCAGGGGAACCTCTGCTCTGGTGCCTGGAGCACCTCCTCCCCCTTCTTCACTGACCTTGGTGTCTGCACAGTTGTTCCTCTCACGTATTCTCAACTCCTCTCTGGCTGCAATTGCCCAGCTGTTTTTTTTTCCGCCTTCTTGAATATGTTATCCCAGAGGCTCTGTCGCCGTCACTGATGGGCTCGGCCTTGGCCAGTGGTGGGTCCATCTTGGAGCTGGCTGGAATTGGCTCTATCAGACATAGGGGAAGCTTCTAGCAACTTGTCACAGAAGCCACCCCCGTAGAGCCCCTGCCACCAAAACCTTACCATGCAAACCCAATACACACCTTGAAGCACTGGTAGTAGTTCTGGAGGGAACCTCTTTGCAAAGAGGTAATACAGTGAGAGGGATCTTATATAGCCTTGCTTGGCTTTAACTGGAGGAGCAGGAGATTCCAGACTCATCTGCTACTATCAGTATTGGGTTGAAATTACTCACTATCTCATTGTCATTGCAAGGTAATGAATACCATTGTAGCCCACCAAAGGAAAAATAATCCAGGCAAACTATTTTTACAAAGAGAGAATAAAGAACTGATGCTCAGACATTTGCTTTGGGAGAGGAACGGCTTTTACTCCTGTCCATGAACCAAGTGGAACATACTTTGTCAAGGCAGTAACTCAATTAGCAGCCTGAGGGTATTTTACTAAAAGGAAAAGATCAAGAAAAGCACTTCTTCCTAAGTATCCTGAGAACCTAGATCTTTCTTTAATTTACTGCAGTACATTCTGCAGACTGTTAGTCTCTTAGAGTCTGAGGAATGCTCGTCTTTTGTATTTTAGGTCTCCAGCGTCGCAGACTGATTCCTGCTCCGTTGCCAGATGCTGCCTCCCTAGGAAGAAAACCCAGCGTTACTGGCCAATGGGTTGATCTACCACCTTTGCCAGGCACTTTAAAAGAGCCATTTGAAATTAAAGTTTATGAGATTGATGATGTGGAACGATTACAGCGACACAGACAAGAGGAAACTGAGGTCAGCACATATTTTACAACAACTGTAGACAACTTAAATTACAGTATACAGGCAGAATCCTTGCTTGAATGCCGGAATGGTGTTCAGGAAATTGATTGCAATTAAAGCACTATAATTATTAATTTTACAATTCATATGTTGGGGTACCCTTAACACAGAAAATGAAAATGATTACTGTCTAAAATTAATTGTGTCTAACATGACTGATGGTGTAAATGGAAGTTACCAATGAATACATTATGAGAAGACTTTATAATCTTAGACCAGCTGATGAAACATTACAGCATCCCTCAACTATAGGGTCATTAACTCTTTATGTAAATGACAGGATTCTATTAAATCAGGGATACTCTGAGTTTAATTTACTTGTAATTGGAAAACACTTCAGCTAATTCTATTTTGGAGACCGGAGTTCTATATTCTTCTGATGCCTTTTTCCCATTTCTTTCATAATAGCCTTTCCAGGATGTTGAGAAGGTAGGAATGCTTTTAAGAATGTAAGAATTCATATATTTCAGGATTAAATATAACTCTTACATTATCAGTAGGCTGTGTTTATCATTTGCACTGCTGGGAAAAAAAAATCCTCTACAAAAAGTAATAATTTCAGAATGTACTAGAGATGTTTGCTAATTCAGACAAGTGCAACAAATGCTTGAGTGAGCTAGCATGCTGTTCCTCTAGATTAGAATCCATTAATGTAAACTTCAAATAAATAAAAAAACCCAACAACAACAAAAATCCCCACCAACCCCACAACCAAACAAAACAACTCACTTGCTAACTCTTACGAGTAATGAGCTGGGAGCAATTTGTGTCAAACTGTTGGAGGTCAGCTCATAGCAGGCAAATTCATGAAATGGTCTTTCTGTGTCTTAAAAGGGTCTGATGTATTTCCATACCAAGCTGAAGATACTAGAAAGGCGCCAGCAGCGAATCAGAGAAGTAAAGGCAAAGCATGAATTTTTGAAGGAAGAGTTGGAAGAGACAAAGTGCAGGTTGATGATGGATCCAAATAAATGGAAAGAAGACTGTAAGTATTTTGGAAAACCAGCAGTATGGTCAGCATGTAACAAGTTTTCAGCATGTGAGCAGTCCCACTGAAAAAGTTAAGCACTTGCTAAGAGATTTTGCTGACTTGAGCCCTAAAATACTCTGTGGGTCCATTTGTATTTCTGTGATAGGGGATTTGTTCAGTGCCGAGTAGTACTGGAAATGAACAAAGAAACCCTCTCCAAACCAACCAGAAGAGAATGTCTAAACAATGTAAAGACAAACTATGATGCTTCTTAATATTAAATACTTGTATAACCTTTTATTATTCTTTTTTTTCCAAAGAAGGAAAAAATGTTTTGCATGTGCTGAACAAAGTGAAAAAAAATTCTTCTTTCAAGAGAAATGAAATTATGCTCTACATTATCAGCTCCCTTGTGATAGAATAATGTTTTGCTATGAGCTGTTTCTCTTACATACTGATTTTTTGTCTGACAGTTGAAGTGGATCCTGATCTCGATAAGGAGTCGCAGGAGTACCTGGAGGCACTGGAACAAGTGACAGAGGAACTGGAGCAGTGTGTTAATCTGTGCAAGTCGCATATCATGATAGTGACGTGTTTTGATATTGGAATAACAGATGCACAAGATGGAGTAAGGGAAGTGGAGGTTTGAAGAGAGGTTTTTCAAGGGACTGAGGGAAGTGAAGCTGGATTGTACGACATGAAGAAGTAAAGGGATTAAGTAGCTGGGAAGTGAAGGAGGAAAGGTGAAGACGAAAAAGCAACAATGAATGTTGTAACAGAAAGAAACGGCTGAGGGATGGGAATGTTCATAAATCATTTGGTGCCTCAACGTGACTTGAACTGTACAAAGATAAAAGTAGGATCTCAAGTATTGCTTCTACCAGAGGGAAGCGAAGAAATGTAGTACAAACCAAGATGTTAATTAACAAACAAACATACAATGGAAGTGCCTTTAAAGTTAATTTCATTTTCATTTTTGTATTCGGTGCTAGAATTAAAGCCAGCAAACCTAAGCAGACCACAAAATGTATTCCTACGAAATATTTTATACTGTATAGTGTATTTATGACTATATGTAAAAAAACAAACAACGTTGTAGCAAAAGCAATAAGTAAATTATGTTTTCATACCTGAACTTGCCTTCTTGTTTCATAGAAAAGCTGTTTTATGTAGCAGAATTAAAATTGTATTATAATTGTTTTTTTGGTTAGGGTTCAAGATATTTTTATGAACATTTATCTATTGAAAAGGTGTATTATGGCATTTTGCAATGATTGTTTTACCTTCAGGTTTTGTATTGTTACTTTTTCAGATCAAAATAAATGTTTGTTTTCCATTTTATATATACATATATAGATATATATTAACTGCTTACCTACTTCCTTGGTTACTAACCTCACTTATCACAGACCTGGTCTTTTTGGAGTCGTAAACTTAATGTGAGGAAGTCTACAAAGGGCACTGTGGTTTGTTTTGGTTTTCTTTTTTTCCTCTCTGACTGCAGGAATTGAGAATTATGTTTATTACCAAAACCATAAAACAAACAAAAAAAAGGAACAAAAAGTTTTTGTAAATGTTAAGTTAGGTCCATATTTTTATATAGTTTTGACTATAAATATAGCATTTGCATTTTGAACTTTTAAGACAAATAGTATATCTTTTTACAGTTTTTCTAAGGAAGGCAAACCCTCAGGATCAAGTTTATACATGCTGCATGAGATTTGTGCTTTTTTGAAGGAGGCCACTTAAGTGTGGGAACTATTGATAAATTGTTGCCAAACAAATACTTTTGAAAAGGTTTAATAGTGTATGTAATGCCACATTTCATAATGAATCATATTTTCTAATCATCTTCCTTTTTATGGTTTTTTCAAATCCTTTGTAAAAATATGTATTATAACAGCTTGCTTCAGTTTTTATCTGTGAATAAAAGATACATCTATTGTTACGATTGCTTCTTGCTATGTACATGATTTTAATGTTTGGAAGAGAGAGGATGGCCTGTGGTACACTGTATTAAATGTCATATATTATCTCTTTGCCCAAGAGAGATAACTGGGACCAGAGTTTTGACATTAGTCATCCTAAACCAATCAGGAAAGAGACAAAACACCAAAGGGTAAAATAAATAGCAATGATAATGCTTATATTCTCTTAGCACCTCATAGATACAGAACAAAGACCCGCGGCTCATATACTTGTTTTCCCTGATGAGACAAAGCAATTAAAAATGGGTCTAAAAACACAAGAAAACTTGAGGAACTGGAATCGAGCCCTGGGCCCCTGTAGGTGCATCATAGCAAACAACGACATTCATTTCTCTCTGACACTGCTGTGTTTGCTCTCTGGTCAGACAGTAGCTGTGCCTGGTCCTTGTCTCCCACTGATGCTGGTTGGAGTAACTCCAGACAGATTTAATGTAAAGCTACTGCTTCTAATGACACCATCTGAAGTATTTTCCAGCTATTTGGCCGAACAGCCTGTAATGTGTGAAATTTTCCCCTCCCTCTTTTTTTTCCCCTATGTAGCCCTGACAGCATGGCTTCCAATCACCAAGTTCTCTTCCCCTCACAAAAAGCTGAGAAGGCGGGTAAAATGCTTTTCTCCCCATTCTGCAGCTGGAGAAGTGGGAGAGTGAGAGCAAGAGTTTGATGCTTAAATATCTTTGTGACTTTGCATAGGTTACAAAGGATGCCCTGCTCTTACCTACCTTCCTGTGATTTAGCCCTGGAAAAGGGTGCACTGTATTTGCTTACTGACATTTGGCACTGCCTTGGGTTGTGTGTGGGGGAATGTGGCATCCACAATTTCTAGAGGATCCCCTTGCTGATGTCCTCGAATACCAGATATATTTATTGTTATAAATTCCTGCTATATTTACTTTATGTATGTGTGCAGAAAGTCGCAGTTCTTCCAAAGATGGAATCAAAACCACGTAGTGATGCACAGAATAACAGAATGGTCAGGGTTGGAAGGGACCTCTGGAGATCATCTAGTCCAACCCCCCCTGCCAGAGCAGGGTCACCTACAGCAGGTTGCACAGGACAGCGTCCAGGTGGGTTTTGAATGTCTCCAGAGTGGGAGACTCCACCACCTCTCTGAGCAGCCTGTGCCAGTGCTCTTCCACCCTCAAAGTAAAGAAATTCCTCCTCATGTTAAGATAGAATTTCCTATATTCAAGTTTGTGCCTGTTACCTCTTGTCCTATCACCGGGCATCACTGAAAAAAGACTGTTCCCATCCCCCTGGCACCCTCCCTTTAAGTATTTATAAGCATTAATAAGATCCCCCCTCAGTCTTCTTTTCTCCAGACTAAAAAGACTCAAGTCCCTCAGTCTTTCCTCATAAGTGAGATGTTCTAATCCCCTAATCATCTTCGTAGCCCTTTGCTGGACCCTCTCCAGCATTTCCCTGTCCTTCTTGAACTGGGGGGCCCAGAACTGGACACATACATTCAATACATTGTGGTTTTTTTTCAGAGCAAGTATCAGATAAATCAATACAATAAAAAAAAAAAAAAAAAAGGCAGCAGCATGCTGAGGGACGAGGATTTCTTAGCAGAGGGGAAAACCTCCAAACAAGAGGGCCAAAGAATATATTAATGGGGAGCTCCACACTGTGGTGTTAGGTTTTGCGCTGGTGCCATTATGCTGTCCTCTGGAGATGTGCACCTCAATGGTGCTGTGGCAAGCTGGGTTGACCCGTGGAAGCCTCTCAGCCCTGGGCACAGCAGGGCTGGGCTCTCAGTCTGGTTTTTCAAGGTAGCCTGAAACCCCCTCTTGAATGGACACAAGAGTTTTTGTTTCTTTTATTTGCCAGCCACTTCATCCTATCCTCAGAGGTCTTCATTGTTTCTCCCCCACTCTGGCAATATTATAATCCTCTGAAATAAAAATCAAGCCACCAATCATCCATCCCAATTTTTTATAGACCTGACAATTTGTTTAGCTATTCCGCTGTATAGTGTTTGCTGATCGGGCCTTGATATTTTCTCCTTAATTTCTAACTGTGGTTACGTTTGCCACAAAGTAGTAAAACAGACATTTCGGGGCTGCTTAGTTCCATGTCAACATGGCAATAGCATGCATATTAAACACATTTAGCCGCTGGCTTGGTGACACAAAACAAGCCTGAGATGCAAAATAAGGTGAGGCACTGATGGATGAAATAGCAGACTTTTTCCTATGAAAATGCTGTTCTTTACTGGTAGTTGTGGATAGTAAATTATATTTCATATCTCAAGACTTAAGAGCCTGTAATATTCCTTTCTTTTTGGTAACTTTTGCAGTTCTGTCCAGGTAAAATTTATACAAATATTTGCTTGGTTTATGATTCAAGCCTATTCTGCAAAAGGCTTAATTATATAAGGTTACAAATGATAATTGCAAAATTAAACTGGATGCTTTATTTCATTAATTTTCTATTGAGATTTAATGATTTCAAATAGCCATTAAATTGCATACTTAAAGACGTGATCTTGCTGAGTTTGTTACGGTATCAGATAAAACCTTAGGAACCTGCTGGTGCTGGAGAACTGCCCGAGTTAGTTTTGGCAGGGCTAATTCACACTAGAATTCTCTCTCCCCTGGTTGCAGCCCTTTCCATGAAATCCCTCACCTCCTCCTTGCTGGGGCAACCCTTTCTAGGTCCCTTGATGGCCCATTTCACCAAGCAGCTCACATCACATTTATTTCCCCACAACAGGAAAAAATGTATAGGCAGCTGCTGGGGTTTTTTTTAAACCAATGAAATGGTGACTGTAAGTAAAGCCTGAAGATTAAATTTCAGGAAGTGGGACATAAATTTCCCTCTTTCTCAAACCCCACCTCTCACCAGGTTTCATGAAGCAGGAGACCAGAGGTGAGCTTGCTTGTGTGTGAGGGGCAGAGAGAGGAGAGGTCCCCACTGCCTCACTCCCATGATCAGGGATCTTTCAGGAAGACATGAAGTATGGATTGGAACAGAAATCAAGTGAGAAAGCAGGATCCTTATCCGGTGACCAGGGGCTCAGGAAAGGAAGCAGAGCCTTGCACTCTGGACGTAGCCTCCAAGCTTACTTTTGCTTTTTCCCATCCAGTGGTCATAGTCCAATATAGAAACCTACTCCTGGGAGGAGGGATTTCAACTCACTTGTCAGAATTTACAAGTTGTTTGGATGAGTTGGAGGAGTCAGTAGCCACTCCTGTAAGCTGGGCTGTTGCTAACCATGTACTAAGCAGTGCACGTCTACAGGGACATTACTACATTGCTAGAAGTGTTTGGAAATGCAATTATTACAAACATAGATTCCCTATCGAGAAATCAGATGGTGTGTAGGCAAAAACTCGTTTAATGTATGTGTAAAGCCTTTTCCTTTACAGTGCTTCTGATCTAACCAGTTCCCGCTAAGGCATTTCTAGGAAATTCTAACTGCAGTAGTGAAACATCAGTACTAAAAGAGAATGCAATAGAAATGTGAGATTATTTGTTCTTTTCTCAGCATGCAGAAAGTGTTTCATTTATTTCTATTTCAAGGTACTCATGTATTCTGTTTCTAGTTATAAACTCACGTTTTCCAGTCACTTGCATTTTATTTTTGAAGTTATGTGTGGAACATAACTCCACAGGCAGCTGTTCTATATTGTGGCTATAGGCAGGGTTTAAGGCAAAA